AGTAAGACATCTCCCGAAAATAAGACCTACTTACAGCTTTGCCTCTCGCTGAAATATTAGGAATCTCCCTGAAAATAAGGCCCCCTGAAGCTACCGTAACTCTGGACTCTGGGCCGTAGCAGTGGGAGCCGCCACACAGCTCACTGTTGGCCGCAGCACAGCCAGAGCAGACAGGAAGTGCGAGGTCTCTTTTAATAAAACAATAAACAATAAATGTGTACTGTATTCTTCTTCATGGAAAAATAAGACATCCCCTGAAAATAAGACCTAGTGCATCTTTGGGAGCAAAAATTAATATAAGACACTGTCTTATTTTCAGGGAGACGGGGTACCAGGGTTCTTTCTTTATTTTTGTAAATTCATCTTGTTATTCCTTTGCTCAGAAACTTTCTTTGGCTCCAAACTGCTTTTCAGTTGAAAATATTTGTACCTTTTTTAGCATGACCTAGGAGGCCATGTAGGATCCCTGGTGGTGTAGTGGTTATGGGTTGGGCTATGATCCTCATGGTTGCCAGTTCGAAACTAAACCACCAACAGCTCCTTGGGAGAAAAATGAGGATTCCTATTCCCATAAAGAATTACAGTCTGGGAAACCCACAGGGGCAGTTCTACTCTGTGAGGAGGAGGCCCTGGTGGTGTAGTGAGCAATGTGTTGGACTGCTAAGTTCGAACCCACTGGCTGCGCCCCAGAAGAAAGATGAGGCATTCAGCTTCTGATAAAGAGTTCCAGTCTGGGAAACCCACAGGGGCAGTTCGGCTTTTTCCTACAGAATAGGAATGTACTGGGTAAAGGCAGTGAGTTGGGTTGAGTTGGAGGTGGCCCTGGGTGGTACAATTACTTCAGTTCCACTGCTAGCTCCGAAAGTAGGAGACTCAAGTCTACTCAGAGAGAAGCATCTAGGAAGAAAAGCCTGGCGATCTACTTTAGAAAGGGCAGTCATTGAAAACCCTTTGGAACATCGGTCTGTTTGGCCATCTGTGGGGCCACCATGAGTTGGAATCAACTCGACAGCCATGGGTCCTGGCTATGAGACCCATCTACTGGCACCTCGCATCTGCTTCTCAGCCTTGCCTCTCTCCCGCAGTCCCCAGTCTTCTGTCAATTGGCTGACGTACTGTTCTGGATACAGGCTGCGGATCCTTGTCAACAATCCCCCAGCCCCCTCCTCCCCTGGCCAGCTCCCACCTACCCCTGCAGCCTCCAAACCTGATTTCACTGCCCTCCCCAGAAAACCTTCCCTACACCTCTTCCTGGGTCAGGGCCCCTACTCTGAGCTGCTTCAGCATCTCCCTCCTCTCTGCCCCCACCCCCACCCCTCTCCCCCTCCCCACCATGCTTAGCTATCCAATTCGTCTTCTAGTGGTCTCCTTTCTTGGCTTGGGTTCCCCGCTTCAGCGCCGTTTGGCATCATCTGCTGAAGTCCGTCTCGCTCCTCTGGAAAGAGGTTTCTCAGGGAATTGGCTCTTTCTCTTGGGGTAAGCATACCAGCCTTGCCTCGGAAAGCATACCAGAAATGCCAATGGCTTGATGTGAGGCATGGAGTCTTGTCAGCATGGGAGTGTGTTCCCTGAACGCCAAACCTCAATTTCACATGGAGGACGTAGGCTTGACAATATCACAGGAGGAGGGGGAAACAAGAGCAAGAAAATTGGTGGCAGAGAAGCGCTGACTCCAGGAAACCGTCTCCACAGCCACGCTCGAAGCTTCTAGCTGATTTGTTGTTTTATTCTTTTGGCAAGAGCAGGGCTGGGCCTTGTCTAGGGTCTCTGACCCTGCTAACTCGTGAGGATACCGAGGTGCTAACCTTTCCTAGAAGGAGGGCGTGGCGGCCATAAGTGAGGCCAAGCCTACTGAAAGCACCCCAAACATAACCGGTTCGGATTCTCCAGGTGCTCTGACTCCAACTCCACCAGCCGCTCTGGGGGAGACCTATGAGACCACTTTTGGTAAAGATTCACAGATTTGGAAACCTTGGAAACAGTGCCTGCAGTTCTACCCTGTCCTATAGGATTGTGCTGCCTGGAAATAGATTTGACAGCCACGAGGGTTTGGTTTGGGTTTGGGTTGTTCTTTGGTTACTGTTATAAGTGGCCTTTGAATGCTGGGCTAAGGTGCCCGCCTATCTTCCCCTGCAGGCTTTCAGCCTGCAGATGCAGCCAAGCGGCAGGAAGGTTTTGTTTTGACAGCCCTCACCAAGCCGAACCCATCTTGGCAGCTGTCAAGTGGGAGGTGGAGCAGAAAGGGCAGCCCAGCATCTACTATTAACCAGTTGTATCTGTAAAATGGGCATGGGAGGTGGAGGTGGAGGCGGGATTTGGGGAAATTTGACCCACACGGTGGAATCCAGGAACAATCGTCTTCCTTTAGAAGAAAATAAAGGACATGCTATGCTTAAACACACACACACACACACACACCCCACAATGACAGTTGGGTCGCTCAATCAGTAAAGGTTTGCATTGAACTTTAGGCTCTTTTAAAGAACTCTCTGTACATGATGAAATTGACTGGAATCACTGGAAAGGTTAGATGCAAAGCTTATTATGCTAAAGAGGGTAGAATACTTTGGAAATGGGCCCACGTAACATGAAGAAGGTAACCAAGGGCATAGAACTGCACGTGCAGAAATGGCTGAATCTGGTGTTGTGTGGCTGTGGTGACATGTTGGGCTGCTAACTACAGGGTCAGTACTTCAAAACGGCCAGGTGCTCTGCAAGGAGAAAGAGGGGCTTTCTACTCCCGTAAAAGAGTGACAGTCTCGGCCACTCACAGGGCAGTTCTACTCTGTCCTAAAAGGGTCACTATGAGCCAGCATCCACTCCATGGCAGTGAGTTTTCTTTTTCCTTTTCACCAAACTGACTCCTGGCAACCCCATGGGTGTCAAGGTAGAACTTCGACCCAAAGGATTTTCCTGAGCTGATTAGACTGCCAAGCCTTCCTTCTGAGGCCTGGGTGGGTGCATTCGAACTATTGAACACACAATTGCTTGGACAGATACATTCCAAAGGCTAAACTCACTGCCACGGAGTGGATGCTGACTCATAGCAAGTCTCTAGGGCGAGTTTCCCAGACTGTAACTGTTTATGGGAGCAGAATGCCTTGTCTTTCTCCTGAGGAGAGGCAGGTGGTTTTGAACTGCCGGCCTTATGGATCACAGCCCAACTCGTAATCATTACCTAATGGGTTCTTCGGGACAAGTTTGATCATAGAGTGGGCAACAAAGAGGGAATACACCACCCTCACCCCCCAACAACCAAAAACCTATCTCATGAACATCCAGTCAATTCTGACTCAATGTTTCTATAGGACAGAAAAGAATTACTCTTGTGAATTTCCATGGCTACTACATTTTGAAGGGGGTGGCTGTTGGCTTTTAAACTGCTGGCCTGGCAGTGAGCAGACTCACCGGTAATCCACTACATCATTAACAGGCTCCCACCAGGCAGAGGAGGGTGGATGGGCTCAGGGTTGCTTCTCTAGGTCTGTTTGGTGGTATCTATTTGGTTCTGGGCTTCTAAGGCCTGGGAAGAGGGCTGCCTGGAACATAACAAGGGCTACTAAGCCTGAGGGTGGGGAGGAGACAACACTTTTTTTCCTAATGCATTGTTCTGGAGGCATCTGGGATTTCTAGCAGCCCACTCTTCCTCCCTCCTTTCAGGCCAAGTCAACACCCCCTCCCTTTTAACTCAACTCACAGTCCTTCTGATTTGGAGCAATTTCCCTACCATCAGTGTATATATTAAACTTAATTTTTTTTAAGCCAACACAGCAGAGGTGCTTCACGGAAGCAGCGCCGTGGCTAAGGTATAGTACCTGACTTCTCAGGAAAGATCCAAATTGGTTAATTTGGAGCCCTTGCATTTAACCATCCCCCTGTCTTACAGGAAGCCCAGCCAGAACAAGTCTTAAAAAACAAGGCTGGTGACATTCCATCTCATGCATCTTGGGCATGTTATCAGGAGGGACCAGTCCCTGGAGAAGGACATCATGCTTCGTAAGGCAGAGGGTCAGCTGAAAAGAAAATGGATTGACCCAGTGGCTGCAAGAGTGGACTCCGCCCATGTGAGAATGGTGCAAGACCGGGCAGTTTCTTCTGATCCCCAGAGGGTTCCTTGAGGTCTGAAGCAACTCGACAGATGGCATATAACAACACCTGCCCCAGACACAATTCCTCTTGTGACAAAGGCCAGACCTGGATGCCCAAGAGGAGGGTGGAGGTGACCACAGATAAACTGGGTATCTCTACTCAGAGCCAAAGTGAAAGGCATTGTGGACCCTTGGCTCTGAGAATGAGGGTCAGCAACTCAGAGAGACCACTAGCTCAGCGCCACATGCCCATAGGTTGGGGATCTTTTCCTGCAGCTTCACCCCATGGGGTTACGGGAGAAAAAGAAATGCAAAATTAAAATGTACTCCAAGACATGTTTGTCCTAGGAAAGGAAAGCACCGACCATTTTAATATACACAAGAAGTCATCTATGACACACTGGCAAAAGGTACTCAGGGTTGTTTTTATTTTATTTTAAATTAAATTTTTTTTAGTTTCTCGGGGTTGTTTTAAGAGCCCACTCAACCAGTCCAAGGAGACCCTTTCCTGGCCAAGTTCACCTGCAGATAGGCACTTCCTCTGCATCAGTGCGTTACAGTCTGAACTCCCTCATTCTAGCCGATGTTTCCCAATCAAACCCAAGTTTCCGACTGCCCAGAAATGGCTGTTGGAAGTTTAACGGTCTCTCAAGGGCAGTGAGTGAGTTCACACAGCAGGACTTCGCAGCTTGCGCTCCTGGGTTCTAGCAGCATTGGGACCAGGCCAGCCTGGGACGCGACTCTCTCTCTACTGGGGGTAGGTTCTCTGACACTAGCAGCAGGAGGCTTGGGGCAGGTTCCTGAGACCGCCACAGCTGGCGGGCTTCCAGCAGACGCGGGTTGTTGGCCCGATCTGGAGTTGGGGCTGAAGCAGTCGCCCCCCTGGGTACGATCGCGGAGACCAGGGCACCAAGCTTCCGCACAGCAGCAGTGGCGCTCGGCGCTCTCCAGGCTCCACCGCCTCAACGGTCCTGGAAGAAGGGAAACGCTTGGCGCAGCAGGCCATGGATTTGTGCCACTCGGGTGCTCCCGGAGTCCTTCTCTTTGGCCGCCGCCGCTTTCTTCGTGGAATTCCCGGCCTTCGAGCCCAAATTGCTCGCGCTCCGACGCAGAAGCCACGTGCCGCTGCTGTTGTTGTTGCTGTTGCCACACTGCTGGCCATCGACCACCTCCCATTCCTCAGCCCCCGCCAGCTCGCGCAGATGCCGGGGCGCGTTGGGCCGCAGGTAGTGGCAGGCCCGATGGCCGCTGTGGTCCCGGCGCGTGGGGTCGGCGCCCAGGGCGCCCACGAGCACCTTGATGACCATGTCGTGGCCCTGCTGGGTGGCCAGGTGGAGGGGCGTGAGGCCGCCGCTGCCCGGCACGCTCATGTCGAGCCGCAGCCCGTGGCGCTTGGCGAAGTCGTGCACCAGGATGAGCTCCTCGTGGCGCCCGTGCTTGGCCAGCCAGTGCAGCACCGTGTAGCCCGTGATCGGGTCGCTCCGGAGCAGCAGCCCCGGCTCGGCCTCCAGGAGCTCCCGCAGCACCTCAAAGCGGCCCTCGGCTGCCGCCAGCATCCACGCGTGTTCGCGGGGCTCCATGCACAGCCCGCTGCCTTGCGACCCACCAAGCGCCGGCGGTGCCGGCGGCGGCGGCGCCGGCGGCTCCTGGGCACTCTCCTCCGACGGCCCCTGGGCGAGAGTCGCCCCCTGCTGTCCCAGCAGCTCGCGCAGCGCCCCCCGGCGGCGCGCAGAGCCGACGGCCGGGAGCATCCCCGCGCTGGGGAAGGATTCCCGGACGTTGGCGCCCTTGGCGTAGGTGCCCCGGTACCTGTCCAGGACCCCGGCGTCCGCACTGGAGGAACGCAGTGGCGGGGCAGTCCGCAGCCTCATCGGCACGTCTGACGAGGCCCGAGGCGGCCGGCCCGCGGGCCCCCGGGGCTGCGCCATGCTCTGGCCGCCGGTCCCGGTCTCCGGGTCAGTCTGGCTCTCGCCGCCCGGCCCGGCTCGCACCAGGAGAGGAACTGGCGCGGGCGCTGGGGAAGGAAACAGTTTAAGCAACTGGGCTCGGAGGGAGGGAAAGAAGGAGCGCGGGAGGGGAAGCGGGGGAGGGCGGCTCCGTGGGCGAGGGAGGGCCGGCTCTGGGCGCTGGGGCGAGGAGGCTGGGCTCTCGGGCCCTGGCCCCCCAGCGAGCCCGGTCCCCGCATCTGGGCTCCCGCAGGCTAGCAGCTGGCCCCGGGCGCGCACGCCCCGCCCAGAGCCGCCAGGTGAACCGGGCAGTTCTGCCTCTGGCCCCGCGGCCTCAGGCGCCCCAGCGCCCCACATGCCCGCCGAAGGGGCTGGCGCGCGCCCACCCCCGCCCCGACGGGCCCGAGCTAGGTTCCCGCTGCCGCCGCCTCGGGGAGCGCCAGCCTGGATATCCGGGGCGCTCGATCCCCGCCCCCTTCCTTTGCCCTTCCCGCTTATCTTTCAGGAGTCTCCCTGCACTTTGTCCCTGAGTCGCCTTTGTCCAGCGCCCAGCATTCACAGAGGCGGCCCGGCGGCCCCAGTGACTGATCCCTCAGTGCTCGGAGCTACCTGGAATTCGGTCCCTGAAAGCCTAGCCCAGGAAGTTGGCCTCGGCCAGGGGCCGGGAATTGAGGAGGGGTACATCCCTGCTCCCTGGTGACCCCTGTTCCGTTTCTCTCTCCTCCTCCTCTTTAGCCTTTCCCAGGCAGGCAGCAGGAATCGGTGACAGGTGAACCTGAGTCAGAAGCCAAGGCAACGCCCTGCTCTCTCCAGAGGCCCAACCCTGCCCTTTCCCTGAAGGGCCTGCTGAATTCTGGGAAGAGCTTCAGAGCTTTAAAAAGATATTTATGATTCCCTCCACAAGTGGTCGTTCTTGCCCCACCTCTACCACCAGCATGTTGCGGAGCTCAGTCCATGAGTCAGTGGGAGCCATGGAAGGTTGTTGAGCTAGGGATGCACAAAGCCATGTTTAAGGTGCTGTTTTAGGAACATAATTCTGGCAGAGGTAGGAAGCCGGGAGACTGTTCCAACAGTCTGGGTCAGGAGGGATGGCAGTTCAGTGATGGGTGGAATCAATTACTTTTTCTCCCTGACTTCACTAGGTCATTAGGGGAATTAGGTGGTATGGACCACACAAGGCTGGGAAACCCTATGGAGGGTCACTGCGAGTCAAAAGCACACCAGTGGCAGGGGCTTTATTTATTTTCTGAGTTATCGTTATAGTGACAACAATAAACACTTTTTTCAGAAGCCCACTTTACATTTATCAATATTCCCACCAGCCTGAAACACTATGATAATTTCCCTTTTGAGTCTTCTAAAGCACTGGGGTCAGAGCTGTCATTATTTAAACAGTCATTAACCAGTGGCAACGATGCTTTGAATCGCGTGGTTTCATCTGCATTCACTATGAACACGCACGGTTAGCTTTTGTTTTAGCTGCCAATGTTTTGATGGCAGCTGATTTTGTCATATATTGGGGCATTTTTGACACAGTTGTGTGGAAAGTCATCTGGTGAACCGTTATTAACTTTTTTTTGGACACTGAAGCGGCAATTAAAGGAAACGATGGGGAACAATTAACGCAGGCTTCTCCTCAGCTACTCATAATGTGATTAACCAAATCCAAACCCACTGCCCCGGAATTGATTCCAATGCACAGCTGCCCTTCCAGAGGCTCCAAATCTTTACTGGAGCAAATAGCCTCATTTTTCTCCCCTGGAGCAGCCGGTGGGCTTGAACCATTGACCTTGAAGTTATAAGTAAAACGTTTACCCATCAGCGATGCCAGGACCCTTAACAATGTGACTTAATAAGGGTGTAAATTCAATGTAGAAAAATTTTCCAAAACAACTTCCTTGTTAGCATTGATATGTTCTAAGAAATATCACATTTTTGCAATTTGCAATACTATGTATGACAGATTAGTCTCTGATTAAAGTTGACAATAAAAGTCAGTAAGGATTCCGTGGGCGCTAGCATGGGAAGAGAGCCATGGAGTCGAGTGATGTCATGGTTTCTCACACCTTTGAATTTGGGGGACCTGCTCAAACTATCCTTCAAGACACCCTGTGTTTGTGATCCCATTTTGAACATTTCCTATGTACCAGGCACTGGGCCAGTTGCTTTCTACATATCCACACTCATTCCTTTCATCCTCCCAATGAGCTAAGTGCCATTACTGTCTCCGGTTTGCAGAGATGTTAGGCCACTTGGCCAAGGTCACTCAGCAGGAAGTGGTAGAGCAGGTCTGTCCGACTCCATAGCCTTTGTCCTGGCACAGAAGGACAGGCATTCAAGCCAGGCTTCTCAACTGCCAATCACTCTTTTTTTATTATTATTCTTTTAAAAATTGTTTTATTAGGGGTTCATACAACTCTTATCACAATCCATACATCAATTGTGTAAAGCACATTTGTACATTCATTGCCCTCATTATTCTCAAAACATTTGCTCTCCACTTAAGCTCCTGGCATCAGGTCCTCATTTTCTCTCCTCCCTCCCCGCTTCCCAATCCCTCATGAGCCCTTTATAATTTATAAATTATTATTTTGTCATATCTTTCCCTGTAAGACATCTCCCTTCACCCACTTTTCTGTTGTCCGTCCCCCCGGGAGGAGGTCACATGTAGATCCTTGTCATCGATTCCCTCTTTCCACCCCACCCTCCCTCCACCCTCCCAGTATCGCCACTCACACCACTGGTCTTGAAGGGATCATCCACCCTAGATTCCCTGTGTTTCTAGTTCCTATCTGTACCAGTGTACATCCTCTGGTCTAGCCAGACTTGCAAGGTAAAATTCGGATCGTGTTAGTGGGGGTGGAGGAAGCATTTAGGAACCAGAGGAAAGTTGTATTTTCCATCGTTGCTACATCGCACCCTGACTGGCTCCTCTCCTCCCCGAAACCCCTCTGCAAGGGGATCTCCAGTGGCCTATAAATGGGGTTTGGGTCTCTGCTCTGCCCTCCCCGCATCATTCACTATGGTAAGATTTTTTGTTCTGATGATGCCTTATACCCGATCCCTTTGGCACTTTGTGATCGCACAGGCTGGTGTGCTTCTTCTATGTGGGTTTTGTTGCTTCTCAGCTAGATGGCCGCTTGTTTACCTTCAAGCCTTTAAGACCCCAGGCCCTATACCTTTTGATAGCCGGGCACCATCAGCTTTCTTTGCCACATTTGCTTCGCCACCCATTTGTCTTCAGCGATCATATCATGGAGGTGAGCACACAATGATATGATTTTTTGTTTTTTGACGCCTGATAACTGATTCCTTGGGCACCTCATGATCACACAGGCTAATGTGTTCTTCCATGTGGGCTTTGTTGCTTCTGAGCTAGATGGCCGCTTGTTTACCTTCAAGACGACTGCCAATCACTTTTATGAGTTCCAAAATTCCAGCCAAATGGATGGACTTGTCACAACCTGATCATACCTAGAACGTGCCCTCCACCACCTGGAAAGCCCTCCCTCACAACGTCTCCCTGTCCTGCAAGGTCGGCCTCAGCTTCCACTTTCTCCAAAAAACTTGCTAGGATTACCGCAGCCCAGAATAATCTCCTCCCTCACCCTTTGTGTAAGGAACCTGGTGGTGCAGTGGGTTACACGTTAGGCTGCTAGCCTCAAGGTCAGAAGTTTGAACCCATTATCCACTCGGTGGGAGAAAGACGAAGTTGTCTGTTTCCGTAAAGACGGACAGCCTTGGAAACCCACAGAGGCAGTTCTACTCTATTCTATGGGGTTGCTATGAGTCAGAATCAACTACTTGGCAGTGGGTTTAGCCCTCCATTTGGCTATTCCCATGGAACCCAGAAGAAAGTGTCCCATGCGCTCTTCTCTTCGTCTCTCTCTCCCTCCCTCCCTCCTCTTGCTCTGGCATGCTGAGGAGAAACCACAATGGCTTTGGGGACTGTCACACTAGACTTGTGCAGTTAGCAGGAACACAAGAAATATTGGTTACTTCGTTCTGATGTGGCAGCTTGGGAACGTGCGATTGTGTGCATGCTGAGGGAGGCAGGGAGGGAGGCTCGTCAGGCACCAGAGTCTCGGTGCCCACTCCCACATCCCCGCCTCAGACTGAGTCTGCAAGATGCCAAAATCAGGTCAGATGTAGTCAGTTCATTTTTAAAAAGGTAATCAAGTGGTTGCTTTACTGAGCAGACCAGCGGAAGCTGCTATGGGGCATGTGCAGCTCAAACCCCCCAACTCACAGCTATTGAGTCGTTGCTGACTCAGAGCAACTCTGTAGGACAGGGTAGAACCGCCCGTGTAGGTTACTGAGAAAGTAACTCTATCGAAATAGAAAGTCTCATCTTTCTTCCGATGAGCGAGTGGCTGGTGGTTTTGAACTACTGACGCATAACCACTAGGCACCAGGGCTCCACGGCCTGTGCAGCGAGGCCTCAGAAATCAGGCCCGGGCCCAGAATGGGCCCCCAGCTCTCAGGCTTTCATTTTCCAAATGAAACTTGACTGACAAGCAGCTACTTCCCGTGCTCCGGAAACTCCCTTCTGCAACCCCAAATCTGTAAACACCAAACCACATTCAGGCACACACACTTCCAGAATATGCAAACAGCTGCAGCAACATATATGTTTGTGTGTGTGTGTCTCAAAATGCCAGCAAGGAGAATGCAAAACGGAAGAAGGCTTGGGCTATTAATTTTCCTCACCACTAGGCAGGCCATTCCCTTTTCCTTATCAGCACTAATACGATCTCTGATTCCAGCTCAGCATCGTCAACCAGGGCTCCGCCTGACCGATGCCACAGACCCATGACGCACGTGCCTCTGCTTAGCTCTGTTGCCAGAGACCAAAGCCACAGTGTCTCCCTCACAAACACATGCCATTCCCCAGAATCACAGCACAGTTGGGAGGGCCTCTGGCATTTGGAGCCAGGCAGTGGAAAGCAGAAGGGATATTGCTGTTGTTGTTAGCTGTCATT